TAACGCTGTCCCTGCTTCAGAGTCTGTCCTTGGAACTTGAATGATCCGACCCAGCCACCGGACTTCTTGGGGTCCTTGGAAAGTGGGAGCTGACCCTGATAGCCATCCCAGGAACCGAGCAAGTGCACGGTTTTGCAGTTGGAGGAGGTGCGGAGAGTGAAATTGAGCTGGATAGCGGCCATTGTGATTTTATTTCTTTCTTTCTGTTTTGAAGATTGATATTATGATGTAATCGTTTCTTTCAATTCGTCCAATGCCAAACTAATGGATAGACGTCAAGATTGCTGATGAAGCTGTGTGTGTTGAGAGTTTCGTCGAGGTTTGCGAGTATTGCGTTGTCGTTGTGAGTTTGAAAGTTCGTTTCGAGCAAGTAGAACTGTGTATTACGTTGAAGTGGACCGGCCACAAAGAATTGGATTACTGTAAAAAAGGGTGGGTATAAAGGTCGACGATGGAGTAGTGATTATTAGATGGCACCAGGCCTGGGGAGAGAGTAGAGAGGGAGAAGGGGAGGGGTAAAAAGAATAGACAAAAGACGAACACAACAGCTCTGAACTTGACACACTTGCTGAAGAAAAAAAGACGAGATGTGAGCGGCTCCAGGCCTACTTATCTATAGACACTGCATCGCACAGCTGCTGAGCGACAATTGGGCGTTAGCGAGGGGCTGGCAAACCGGCGTATTGCACTACGCTGCCTATGGGCCAGGTCCCGCAGCTCCCGGTAGCGATTGATTACCTGGGCTGCGTACACACGCCATGTTCGCAGGGTGCAAGCTGGTAGCGGGTGTGGAGAGCAGTCTATCGAATGTACGGCGAGCGCTTGATGGTGAAGTGGGAGTGGTGGGCGGCCTTGTCGTGTGTAGCCGGGCGTCTTGCTTCTGTGCCCTCATTCGTTGATGCGGGCGGGGAATACATAAGTGGGCCGTCACGCAGCGCACTGGCTTGGGGTGAAAACACCAAACCAATGAGAGGCAGAAGCCGGGTGAGCCATGTGATGTCGGGATGTGCAAGGTGCAGATAAGTTTCTGTCACACTGCAGATTCAACGGGGGATTGTGGCTCGAGGGCTGACGACAGATGCAGAGAAATTTACTTTCCAAGGCTGCTACCTTGATGGCGCTGCAGCTATCCTCCCTGCCGCATACAGACCTATTTACAGTCTTTTCGTACCCGCATCTCAGCTTCTGTCCAATCGTCTGAGCGCAGCTCCATACCGTCCATCACCAAATGTCCCGAACGGGGACAATGGGCGGCTAATAAACTTAGTGGCTTGCAATGCCGTCCAACCACAACATCCCATCGCCAACTTCACTTGAATGCAGCATAAGCCATTTCTCCGGCCACATTCCGGTCACAATGTCCACCATGTGGGAGAAAACCGGAGTCGATAGTGATGATGTGCACAATGTGCATGCAACGGCATGATTTTTAGAAGAAATTGGTCTGTTAGGGGAAAAGGGAATGGGGTGGAAACGCGGCGGAACAGAAGAGGCACAACACTTCGACATCAGGTACGGGAAGCGACAGCAGATGTGACATTCTCGTTGCCCGACGACGGGCATCTCTACTAAGTAAATGTCATTGCTATCGGGTGCTCGGTCCCCTGGGTACACGAGAAGCAGGGGAGACGCTGAGCTGCTGCTGTGCCATCGACCATCTGCATGATGAGATAGGGCGTCTCTCCTTGACGTCCTTCAAAACCAGGGCCTTCCACACTCGTTATTTGATCAAAGTTATGCGAGTGCACGGGTAGCCCCAGCGAGATCTGATAGACCAGCTGAGCACAAATCTCAGCATACGCGCCGCAACCAGTACATGAAGGCTACGGGCACACTGGCGTTCGTGGCCTACCCGTTAGCGTAGAATGATGGTCACGCAGACCAGCCACTCCACCGACTGGTTCCTCAACATGCAAAGCTCGCATCTCGACAGGAAGCGGCTTGATCGTACGATCTTGCATGACTAGACGCTGATGCAGCCATAAGGAATCATCAAGTCCAACTTAATGTTGCCATTATCAGTACAATGTATGCTTCGACCCGGTCTAGCAGCCCAGGAGGTTTGCCAATTCTTCTGGCGTCAATGTGCTCTTCCTCCTCTTTGGCCTTCCACCGACTCGCGTCTTGACTGGAGACCTGGGTGCCCGCTTCTTAGGGTTTTCTTCGGGCACTTCGGTGCTCTCGTCCGTCTTCTTGGTGGAGATGTCTCCGTCGGTTACAGCGGCTGCTTCCGCGGCCTCTCGTAATTTGTCTTGGACCGATAGCTTCGGCGATCGCTCGTCGGGGTGCGCATGTGGGCTCGACAGGCGCTTTTTGTTCTGTCGCAAGTTGTTAGATTTATGGAACGACGGGGGTTAATATTGGAGGTGTGCCCATTACAAGGGAGGAAGTTGATGAAAATGAAAGGACCACTTTGCTGTCCACCTTTCTGACCTGGTTTGTGGGGGAATCATAACGTACATGGCGTGGTCTGTCTTGACTCGTTCGTCTAGATGCTCGTTCTTCAGATCTTGGTTGTTTGGCTGCAGAGGTCGGACGACTAGTCTTCTCCACTTCCACTAGATCTATCTCAGACGCGCCTGCATTTTCCTCGTCAAGTTGCGACGGTGTGTTCGGAATGGAAGCTGAAAAGGCTACCTTGCGAGGCGACCGGATGGGTGGCTTGTTACCGTTGCTCTCTCTAAGCGCTGTCTGACTAGGTTGCAGCTTAATCCTGAATATGTCAGGCCCAGTTGTTTTGTCAGGTTGTTCGTGCGGTGCAGGTGAGGGAAGTTGATCTTCCTCTTCCCGCTCCTCGGTATCATCCACATCTTCTTCCAAGGCTGAACTTGCGGCATCGTCGGCCTCACTCTCTTCCTGAATTGTAGAGAAGCCTTCTCTGTCGACCATCTCGAATCCTTCACCGAACCCCAATCCCATTCTGAGTTCATCGAGGTTGATGGTGTCGCCGTTGGTCATGCGCTTTCGCCAGGAGTCCATGAGTATAAATGATTCTCGTAGTCGGGCCTCCATCTTCTCCCAGCCTGCCCGCAGCCTGTGTATCTCCTCTTCACGCATCTCAACTTCGTCCACTGCCACAAAGTTGGGGTTTGTGAGGAGGTTCTTCAGGTTGTCCAGCACTGTGTCCATGTCATCGGCCAATGTCTCGTAATCGGTGGGTAGCGCGTGCAGCATGTCCTGTCGCGCATCGTCTTCGTCATCGCCTACGACCGAACTCTCTTCTGTGTCTTGTTTGCAACTGACTTCCGGCATGCCTTGTAGCTCCCTCAGTGTCAATAGAGTGCTTCGCACGAGTCCGATGAGGTTGTCATTCTCGTCGCTCAGGCCCTGACTCAAGTGTGTCAGGAACTCGGTCGTCTCCTGCTTCAGGCTGTATTCGGGATCGTCTACATTGGGTGTCTCTTCGCGCATATGGCCTGTGGCAGCGCTCAAGCCTGTACTGCCGGGATTAATGGTGATGCTGGCGCCTACCAAGCCCGTCTTGTTGCCCCGCTGCTGGCTCGTCAAGTGGCTCTTAAGCCTTGCGATCTCCTTGTCGCGCTTTCGTACATCATTGGTGCAGCTGGTGCGTATTTGGTCGACGGTCGTCTTGAGTCGCTGCATCTCTGCGCGCAACTTTCGCGCCGACGATTCGGCAGTGTGCAGGGCTTTGCGCGCGGATTGCTCCTGCGCCTGGGCGAGCGAGAGCTGCCTCGATAGGTCTGCATTGCGGTTGTGCTGCTTCTCGAGGGCGGCCGTCTGGCGCGTCGATTCTGAGCGCAAGTTTCGCAACGTGTCGGCGATGGATTCGCGGTATTCTTGGTCGCGCTATCTACTCATTAGGATCCTCTCTTCCGTGGAACATGCATGTTTGCCTACGTCGCGCTTCAGTATCAAGTCGTGCACCAGGTTGATAATCTGGGCCATGGTGGCCTCTTTCCCCCCTTCTCCCCTCGATGGATGCGCAAACTCAATCGGCTTGCCATTGCGCAACAAGCCCCGGGCAAGCAGTAGATTGTTGATGTAAGTCGATGCGGTTTTGAGATTGTACGAGTCCATGGTCGTCGCAGCCGTCGTGGTCGGCTGCCGGCGGCGGATGTAGCGGCGTCGTTGAGCTTGAGCTTCTCGTCCAATGTTTGTTTATCCCAGGGTTCCGGCGCCCAGGTAGAAGGAGCAACCGACCAAGCTCGGACCCCAAAACGTTCCGTACCTTCCGCCACGACCCCATCTGACGTGGACATGGTGCCACTGCGACCATCGCGACCACCATGCCCGTCTATAACAGCCCTGCATACAGCCATGTTGTCATTGTTGCGATAATCGCTGCCGTTCGTTTTCGTGTCCACCTCCACTCTCGACTCATCAGTTATCGTGCTCGCCAGCGCCATATACTTCTTTAGTGTGCCTGGGCGTGCATATCAGTCAGATGGCCCAGAAGTTTAATGCCACAAAAGTTCTATTCCCCTGAGTTTGGGCCCACCACCAGTGTCTCCACCATGACCATCATCACACCCTCTGCTTATCCCACGAAGCCTCCGGGTAACGGGACTGCAAATCAGCAACCGAGAACCTTCCTCGGGGCTGCATGTGTCCTGTCCTATCCAGGCTAAATACTCATTTTAGCAGACGATATAGCACGAGTACGACGTGCGTCTATTCCCCTCAAATATCGGGCTCGAATCCGGCTCAAGTCTGTAAGCTTTGCAGGCCCTCACACACGATCTGCATTTGTTCCCTTAGTCATGGATCGCCATTGGAGGGGATTACCGTATTCCATGATTCTTCCACGCGACCTGCCCTGGTCAAGGGCGTACCCAGCTTGAGTAGATGCGCTGCATCTCTGCATGGCCGCCGTGGCGTCCGGAGGGAAGACCGGAGGCATCTCGATTCAACATCGGGGAGACTCAGAAGATAGTACTTAATGCACATCGCCCACGGGAAGGTTGTTCTTGTAGGCTTCATTGTTTTTCCATCGCTCTTATTGATCTTTCGCTCATTTATCACTTTCGTTGACTTCCAATATGGACAAACTCGCGTCTTTCGTACTTGCGAGCCTGCTGTTAGGAGCCCAATCTGCTCTTGCCATTCCTACCGAGGCCACTACCAAAGCGTGCAAAGATATCAATAACGCTCTCCCTGGCAAAGTCTTGACCCCTGGGCTTCTCAAACTTGAATATGAGCATGAGACGCAGCAATACTGGGCTACAAATCTCCGTGAAGTCGATCCTGCATGTATTGTTCAGCCAGAGTCTGCTCAGGATATATCCATCGCTATCAAGATCCTGAACAAGTACCCTACTGTTAAGCTTGCAACTCGAAGTGGAGGGCACGACCCAAACACGAATCATGCTGCTGTTCAAGACGGCGTTCTCATCACTATGACCAGTCTAGTTGGAGCGACGTACGATGCAGCAGAGGACGTTGCCTATGTTCGCCCCGGTGGTGAGTGGAACGATGTTATTGGTGATCTAGAAAAGAGTGGAGTGGCTATTGCTGGAGGAAGGCTTGGTAAGTTTGAGATATCACAGATGATTGAGAACCCCAACTAATACAACAAAGGTCTCGTTGGTGTCGGCGGATTGCTTTTGGGTGGAGGTTTATCGTTCCTTGGCGCTCAAGAAGGCCTCGCTGCTGATGTCAGTTTGCACACAATGTCTTGATGGGACTCATACTGACTGGCCTTAGAACATCGTCGAATGGGAGACCGTCATGGCCAACGGATCCATTGTTAACGTCAACGCTGCGAAACATCCCGATCTTGCGCAAGCCATGCGTGGTTCCGGAAGCCAATTTGGTATTGTTACCCAGTTCAAGGCCAAGGTCCATCACATGGGTGACGTATGGGGCGGTTCTTGCATATATGACGAGTCAAAATCCGAAGCACTTTACGTTGCTTTGCACAACTTCATAGCCCACGGTGCCGAAGACCCCAAGGCCGCCATTATCTTTTCGGACCTTGTGCTCGCAGCCGGGCTCAAGACGAAACTTGTCTTCTACTTTTACGACAGCCCCACGCCGCCTACATCGGGCCCTTTTGCCGACTTCTTCAAGATCCTTAACCCGCTATGTCTGCCCAAGAAACAAAAGTACTCTGAGCTGGTAAGTCCATGAACCGACCGTGATGTGATATACAAGAACTGACGATTGCTAGCTGAGGGCGAACGGCGAACCCGTCCGACTTTTGAACTCCCGTTCATTCTTCCGAACTTACACCGTTCCATATATCCCATCCCGTCCCCAGATGTACAGGGAGATTCGTGATAAGCTCGCTGAGCTCACTGGTGTCTTCCTCAACACACTCCCCGTCGTTCGCGCCGTCCAGTTCAGCGTTGACTTCCAGCCACTTCCGTCTCGCTTTGGCAAGATTTCCGAATCCAAGGGCGGAAACGCCATGGGTCTTTCATCTTCCGACCCTGACCGCATTATCCTTATTTACCAAGGCGCCTGGAACTTGCCCACGGACGATCCTCTTGCTTTCGGTATCGCCAGAGAGCTGACGGCTTGGTTGGACAAGGTTGTGCCTCAATGGATAGCAGAGGCGGGAATGCCAAGCGACATGTACATGCCGTTATTCCTCAACGATGCTATGTGGGATCAACCAGTCATGCAGAGTTACAAGGATTATGAAAAGTTCAAGACATTGCAGAAGAGTGTAGACCCGAACGGACTGTGGAGTACTAGGGCAGGTGGCTTCAAGTACTAGGTTCTTGTCGTCAGCGTCAGTCCTTTGTAGGACGTTTCAGAGTTGGGGTCCATCTCTTAATACGTTATCTTGATTTTGTCTGCACATAAGCCGCTCAAAAAATTATATTCTTCTAGCCAAACAGGAAGGTGTTCTTCATTTAGCGGGGTCCACTATGCTGAAAGCGGGGTAGCTACACCTAGATGTCTGACTGCACCACTATGGTTGCCTGGCTTGACAAAACTACAAAGCTTGGTCATACTGTTGCGTATCGTATTTGCAGTTGCTAGTTACTACACCACAAGCATGGCTCAAGCACCTCATGTCACCGGCTATGAACACGAAGACGCCTGGGATGTGGATTGGCTGCGCGTCGACGATATCCATGAACTACACTATCAACAGTTTGGCAAGAAGGATGGAAAGCCTGGTGGGTGCAACATCTCTCCCAGCCTCGTTTGTTGACTTCTAATCCCATCCAGTCATTTTCCTCCATGGGGGGCCAGGTGGCAACTGTTCCAAATCCAACACCGTCTTCTTCAACCCCTCTGAATATCGAGTGATTTTGCTCGACCAGCGAGGCTGTGGTCAGTCGCGCCCTAATGCCAACACCACAAACAACACTACCTGGCACCTCGTCGCCGACATTGAAGTCCTGCGTAAACATCTCAGCATCTCCAAATGGCACACAGTCTTCGGTGGCTCTTGGGGTTCCACTCTCGCTCTGGCCTATGCACAAACACACCCCGAAAGTGTAGGTAGTTTAGTTCTGCGCGGCATATTCACTGTGCGCGATATCGAGCTCCACTGGACGAATCACCCGGGCGGCGTTCAAATGCTGTTTCCTGACTGTTGGGACGAATTTATCAACTTCCTTCCAGAGGAGGAACGCTCGGATCATATTGGCAATTACCACAAACGCCTTATGTCTTCTGACCCTTCGATAAGTCACCCTGCAGCCACTGCATGGAACAAATGGGAGCTTTCAATCAGCACTCTGTACGTGATTACTATTAGCGAACTGCATAGGAGACATGCGCTGACCTTGTACGCCAAACCTTAGATACCCAGACCCCAATGCATTCAAGAAACTTCAAGACCCGGCTTATCTGCTAGCGCACGCAAGGCTCGAGATCCATTACTTCACCAACAAAGCGTGGCTGGAAGACGGGCAATTGCTGAAGAAGGAGAATGTTGATCGTATCAGGAATATTCCGACAACAATCGTGCAGGGGAGATACGATGTCGTCTGCCCGCCGATCACGGCGTGGAACTTGCACAAGGAGTGGCCGGAGAGTAAGCTGCATTTTGTAGACGATGCGGGACATAGTGCTATGGAGCCTGGGACGAGGAAGAAGCTAACCGAAGTGTGCGACGAGTATGCGAAACTGAGCGTCTAGCTGTGAGCAGCGAGGAGTTGTTGGTCGGGCACTTTCTCTTGTGGTTGTAGAAGAATGCGTATCTAGCTAGCGTCAAATCACTATCGATGGAGTTGACGAGAAATTAAGCCGTGCTTCTGCCCTTGATATACGGGCCGTTTGGAAATTGGCTGACTAACGCCAAGACCGCTTGCCAACCTTGGAAAGAAGCAGAAGACGGCTGCGGGCCCGCGGAATCGTTGCAAACAGCACCAGCAGTCTTCAGTCGAGTTACCGAGCGCCCTCAATGTGAGTGACGTAATATGGACTATGGCCACCACCCCCCTCTCAACTACCGCGCCACCACCCGAAGTTATCGACAAACATGAACGGGCACGCGCGTACGAGATCGCCGCGTGAGAATTGCCATTCTATGTCATGAAACGCGTTTCTCATTGCTAACAAATAGCCCTAGATATCTCTCTGCCGCATCGTTTCCGTTCCAGATCCCAGAAGGGCCGCCCTCCGATCCAGTCCCCAGCAGCGACATAACCCTCAATGCTCTCGTCCAGCATGGCGTGCACAAGATGGATTGCGACCGCGCATTCATCTCCCTCATTGATAACCAAACCCAATTCATATGCGCAGAGATGACGAGACACCAGTCTCTTTCCAGCGCAGATCCGACCGATCCGCTGTTGCTGGGTACTTCTCGAATCCCCCTCGATTGGGGAGTATGTCCTCACACCATGTCCATCTTCCATGGACGAGCGGTATCTTTGCCGGATAGTCCGTATATTGTTGCGGACAGGTCTTACTTTTATATAAAAGACTTTCGTCGGATTCCCACTTTCGCAGAGCGTCCGTTTGTGGCTAGGCATCCATACATGGTGTCTTACCTTGAGATACCACTATTTGCAATGTCTGGACATATATTGGGAAGCTATTGCGTGGTGGACAACAAGGAAAGAGATTTCCTCCATCCAAAGTCGTTGAGTACTATGCGGGAAGTCACTTCGGCCATCAGTGCATACTTAAACATGAGACGCGTCGAAGCCTGTAAATCGCGAGCAGCAAGCATGATGCAAGGTCTTCGCCGATTCGTAGCTCCAGACGAGCGCGATGCACGCAATGTGGTTCCAAAATCTGTTGCTCCTGAACGTCCCGAGGCTCATACAGATCCATTCGATCTTGATGTCTTTAGTGCTACTACCCAAAGAGAATTCAGTCCGCTATCATCTGGCAGTGCAACGACACGCGTCGCTGGTTCAGTGTACGAGCCGGCTTCCATCGTTATTTCTCCGCAAGACACTGATTCGAGGATGGACAAGCCTGACTTGTCCATTCAAGTCGAAGATCTCTTTGTAAGAGCTGCAAATGACATTGGCTATGCCATGGATTTGGATGGCCTTATCTTCTTTGACACTGTTTCAGCCGGTAAACATAGAGGTGGTCAGTCGAAAGATATAGAGACATCATCGTCTCCAAACGACTCCTTTGCGACACCGCTCTCCTGCTATCAGAGAAGCACCGCAGTGGGCCAGCAATCAAGTTTGGAGCTGTCGCAGTCCCTCATCCAACGCTTAACTACAAGGTACACTCGAGGGCATGTCTTCGCTGTAGACGAACACGGCGTTATCCAACATGGAGATGGCAGCGAGCCAGACTACAGCCCCAATTCTGTTGAGGATAACGAATGGACTGATCTCTTCAAGTCTTTGCCAAAGACGCGATATGCGGTTTTCCTGCCGATGTGGCATTACCAAAGAGAAGCCTGCTATGCTACATGTCTAGCATGGGTATCTGACACTGGAAAAACCCTCGATACTGGTGACGTCAATTCTTTAACAGCTTTCGGAAACTCGCTCATGGCCGAAGTCTTCCGATTAGAAGCTTCGGCAAATACTCTATCCAAGTCGGACTTTGTTTCGACTATCAGCCACGAGCTACGTAGTCCATTGCATGGCATATTAGCGAGTATTGAGCTGATCCAAGAAAACATGCAGGGATCAAGCTTGATGCCGGAAATTACTATGATCGAATCATGTGCCTTCACTCTTCTTGATACCTTCGACCATCTCTTAGAATATTCCAAGGTTAATAGTCGTGTCGGCGTCGGGAAAGGTGGAGACCATTCCATTCGTTCTGGTCACCATGTTCATAATGGTGCAGTGGCCGTCGACTTGGAGCGTTTGGTTGGAGATGTCATCGAGACGGTCTCAGTGGGCCATGACCATGCTTCGCGACTCGTATCCGGACTCAATAAAGAGCGCCAGGATACATTAGCTGATTCGCGAGAAACGACTTCAGCTGAGCCTGTCGTCCTCACTACACACTTCGAGAGACACTGCGATTGGACAGTAGCCGTTGAGAAGGGCGCCTGGAAACGAATTCTGCTCAATGTCGTTAGCAACGCGTTAAAGTATACCAGGTCCGGTTACATCCATGTAGACTTGGAATTTGTGGAGGCCGCAGATGGAGTGCAAGCTGCAGACGGCAGACAGGCTCACATCTGTCTGTCTGTGACAGATACGGGAGTGGGTATGAGTGAGGACTTTCTCAAATATCATCTCTTCACGCCCTTCACGCAAGAGAATATATTGAGCCCAGGAACTGGTCTAGGATTGAGCCTAGTAAAAAGCATTGTAGAGTCACTACAGGGCAACATCTCAGTCTCCAGTCGTTTGGGAGAGGGCACGAAGATTACCATCAACATCCCAACCAGCCAAAAGATACAGAAGCCGAGCCTACCAAGCACGCAGGAAAGCCTTCTGCGTGGAAAGACGGTCGGTCTGCTCAGTCTGTCCTCGCATCGGGATTCAAGCAATAAATCTTCCCCATGCATCGTTTCGCCACCCAAAGCACTTGAGCGTTCTATTCGCAATATTTGTGAGGGCCGCTTTGGCATGAGCGTCATCAATGTTTCGACAAGCGCACCTCCAACCATGGATATAGTCCTCATTGACACGCATGCGCTGGACACGACGCATGCTTACGATTTGAAAACTCTGTTCCCTGTGTATGCGGCAAGCGTCTGTCCAGTCGTGGTCGAACTGGGCAATACCAAGGCTACACTTCACAAGATCGGCACCTGGAGTTCCATGCACACGATGTTAATTACAGGAAAGTCGCTCGGATCTGCCATAATATCAGCTCTGAATGACGTGAACGCCAATGGAACGGAAGCCCCATTGCCACCTGCGGAAGTCGAACGCGAAGCCGAGACAGACCCATCGGAGCAACTAGGTCAACACGAGACTTTTCAAAAAGCAGATATGTGCATGGAGACGGTGGCACTTCCGCATCGTAGCCTACCGTCGCAGAACAAGTCACTATCCGACGCTGTGACACTTCCTGCCCCTCAGCCGCAATCATCAGCACAGCCAACTGTCCTTCTCAAGCCCAACCCTGCTTGTAGATTTCACCGGCTACTCCTTGTGGATGATAACCCGATAAACCTCAAAATGTTATGCGCCTTTGCTAAACGCCTTCATGTCCCCTACTCCAGCGCTACTGATGGCGCAGAAGCAGTACGTCTTTATCAAACTGCTATTGAACAACAAGGGCCACAAATCACGTACGATTGCATTTTCATGGACATCAGCATGCCAGTCATGGACGGCTTTCAAGCCGTATCCAAGATTCGAAAACTCGAAGATGATTTGATGGAAAAAATCATCCAGTCACATTCCAACGACGCGTCTGAGCAAACTCTAGACGGCGCCACTTGGGACAACAGAGGTGCGCCACGAGCGTACATCTTCGCGCTCACAGGTCTTGGTAGTGAGAAGGCGCGCAGACAAGCGAGGAGTAGCGGATTTGATGAGTTCTTACTCAAGCCGGTGAGATTCAAGGACGTTTTACCGTTGTTAGCATCGGTGCCGACACCATGAGATGGAGGTGTCATTAACCGTACGGTTCTTTCTTCTCGATAGCTGCAATCTTGTGTAGACTATTCCATGTGATATTGTATGGAAATTAGGGAAGTTCAACTGACTAAGAGAGTATGTATATGTAATCATGACCTAGCTATGAGAGGCCGGTGGTGTCATAGCTCGTTGATGGTGACGCTTGCAGATGCCCAACAGTATGCTATCACTGTCGTATGGCGCTTCCTGCTCATACCTGCCCATATTCATTCTTCCGCTTGGTCTGGCGAGCTTTCCCGTATAGCTACCGACCACAGTCAAAGGTGACTAGATTATACTATTACTCCATACAGCTTCTAAGACGCCCTCAAATAAGGTGCGTAAGCAACACCCACCTGCAAGTTGCCACTTTGTCATCACTGCGAAAAGCTGCTCGGTCATCTCAGATCGTATTGTGGTACTCACTGGAGCTATGTAACCTCATCCTCTGATAGTAGAAAGCAGAAAAAACAAAGGAAGAGAGTAAGCCACGAGACTATATGTAGAAGGTGACAGCCTGTACATTTGGTTGGCTAGGGGACTAGCCTAGGTCAAGCATCCATACGTGGTGGCTTGCTAATTCTTTGGATAGGTAAAAGCACCCATAGTGGTATATGTCGTTACACAGAAAATGTCTCACTCTTAAGCATTTTAGGATAGGTCACATTGTTACATTGCTGTTCGTGGGCGTGAACATGTGATGACGCTGTGGCGTCGTCGCTTGAGGAGTGCTTTGTCTCTGGTCTTCGCTTGAGTCTTGTTGAGGCACTAATGGCGAGGTGGAGTTCTAGCTTGAAGCAGACAGTGGTGATGGTTTATGCGTGTAGCTAATAACTGAAACCCGCGGAGAGTACTCATACTCAGGTCAACACTGGTGATCGGTGGAAGGATCACGGTAAGAGTTTAGTAAGATGGGACGGTCCCGAGGTCGTATTGGCGTCATCTCTGACATGAAGCTACTAAAATATGTTGTACGTGGCTAAATAGTGATCAGAGCGTTCGGCTTGATCCAAGACAACATGAAGCTCACGATGCCAGGTTCTCTATAGTGCCAGAACCTGGAGTCTAGCGTCAAGTAAGAAGACCCTTCGCTTAGGCACGTGTATGTTGCACTGCATTACGATGCAGATCGAACCGAATAGCCGGCGTCTTCATTTTCACTGGTGGAGATTGTCGAGATATGCTTTTTCACTTTGGTTTCTTTGCTAATGAAGGGAAGTTTGGTAGCATACAAGGTCGGGTACAGTGGCGGACAGGTAGGAAACCACGGGCCAAATACCCGGCGGCGAATAGCAGGTGCCCAACCACTCGGCTACTTGCTAGCTACCAGCTGTTAAGCTTCTCCGCTATTGTGTTGCGTCCTAGAGATGATTGCTAGGCACATCAGAAGCCCGGGTAATGTGCCAGAGCTACGATACTAACATTGCTCAATTTAGCGCAAGATCAGGTCAGCCAGCGCACACCTATTGAGGTTCTTTGTCAGTGGTGTCATACAGATCCTCTTCGTAAGTCACTACTTGGGTATTCTAATAGAGGTCGTGGCATTGCAACAAATAAGCAGCGACGAGCGAAGTGGAGTTACCGAATTAAGGGTTCAATGACAACCGTGAGTACCCAGGTAGCAGTCTGAGCCAAGGCACTGACTCCTCTTTCTTCTTCGCCGAAGTTAATGAGCAGTTGTATGACACAAATACGGCCAAGATCGGCTAAAGCGCGACTCAGGCGACCAGGGACCTCGGCTGCCTTCCGAGGCTCGACTGGATCAAAAGAAACGTCACATTTATCGGACCTTTTGTTATTGCTTCTGGCGGACCGCGTGCACGTAAGTGAACATGTCGCATTCTCCTTTTTCGGAGTAGTAGTATGTATACCGGTGCAAGCCGTGAGACTAATCAATACGGGTGAGTTACTACCCCGGTATACACGTGGTCCCGACATCGGCCCCGGCCGCCCCGAACAGCGAAAAAGCAGACGTGATTATGGCTTGGCAGATTTGCTCTATCGCTAGCTTGGTGCGCCGGCATTTGTGAATGGAGGGACTGCGTGCCTGATCGTGCATATTTAGCGGCAGTACCCGGTCCACGGGTAAGATCGACGAGCCGCACCGCTACGGCACTACCACACCCTTTTTGGCGGCATTTGACAACAAAGCGGCACCAAATGGGCCACCTCAGCTGAACTGACGCAGGTCGACAAGAGAGACTCGCACATACAGAGTAGTGATCTACTGTACTACGGCAATACAAACATCTTGGCAAGAGACATTTGGAAAATGATTGGCAAGCCTTAAGCCTCCACTGTGAACTTGGACGCCAATTGCCATTGCGAGCCCTAGAATGCGTTAGTGCTGTATACCCAGCATGCGTTCTCTCTACGTTCACAACCGGGTGTTGCTCATGGACTGGACAAGGAAAGTGGAGCTCGAAGATGTCAATCCCTTGTATCGATTCAGCCGCAGAAGCTCCACTCGGTGATGGATTCTGGTAGATCTCTCTAACAGGGACTAGTCTGGTCGGCCTTTATACTGATCACTGTGAAATGACACCAACTACGATACTGAAGAGAAGAATATGTATTGGAGATGCCGTAAAGGAATCTTGATATGGTACGCTCGATATATCGGCACAGGCTGTGACACTGCCACGGAGCTCCAACAATGGAAAGGAAAAAGGTGCAATGCACTGGAGATTGGGGTGGAAGCGGTCAAGCCAAGGTGGATTATAGTACAAGACTTCATCTACCATTGAACTTTGTTCTTTTCGACAGTAGCGCACTCTGCATCGCCTAGCCTTTGGGCAATAGGTCTGATTGGTATCTCAATGTCCTGTACAGGAGGATCAGCAGATCTAGTCACCTCACAGGGTAGTGGAAAGTATTCACTCCGAGAGCTTGAGCTTAGCTGCATCTTGCACTGTGTATAAAGATGCTGCCGCCCTCCATCGTTAGAAGTCATCGCACAGCTTCATCTCTGCAATCACTACTCCTCGATCCTCATCGTTCAAGCAACAGATACCGGTCTTCTAGCCATCAATCACCGCAAACATGGTCTCATTCCGCAACTTCTTTACTGCCGCTGTGGCTCTCTCTGTCCCTATCGCTGCTCAGATTACGCCTGCTCAGGTTGTCTCCAACATCCGGATGGTGACACAGAAGAGCCAGGCGCTCCAGGCACCAGCTCAGAGCATCACTATCATTAATGGTCCTTTGATTGTCATTGGCCAGGGACCGTTTCCCCAGATCATCGCGGGCTTTGCCGACATTGTGTCCACAGCCACCACTGCTATCAGCCAGATGCAAGGAATGCCTCCCGTTCCAGCCGGTGCTGATTCTGATGCTATCTTCGACGCCTTCCGCGAAGTCAGTACTACAAGCGCCTTCTGGATGATAAAATGACTGACGATCAAAAATAGTTTGTCCGTGTCCACCAGGCTCTGCTCAACATACTCATCGGAAAGGCTGGATTGTTCAATACTGTTCCGTTCATTGGCCAGCCCTTAGCAGCTGTGCTCAGACAAATCGAGAATGTTGTTGATGTGAGTCCTTTTCCCAAACTCCCATGTTTCTCTGGATATTATCCCCAACGATTATATCCGCACTTGCTAACGACTATCTACAGACTATCGCATTTATGTTGATCGATGCCGTTGAGTCACGTGCTTCTGACTTGCAGAACCAAGCGAACTCTCTTGACGGAACCTTGACCATATGCATCAACAGCTACGATGGTCTGAGCACTAAGCTAAAGGCAAAGCGCAGCCTCAGGTTCGCACGCCGCGAGATCGCCGCCGCTGCTTAAACAGGTGCTACATCAGAGACAAGCAGTTCAGACGGTACACAACAGGGGAGGTAGCTGTGAACAAGGTGACGATGGGGGTGTGAAAGACAGTCGTCATATGGTGTGGGGTCCACAAGGTCTCAGACGGTCGTTACCGCTTGTACATTTTTGTTTGAGCACTGCACTCTTAGACAGTCGGTCATATAGTCAATGTAAAGCAACGTCTGTCGCAACATATACTAGCATGATTACAGCAGATCTTCTGTTGCCTGATCTTTTAAGCATACTTTGCAGCCAGTCAGGCTACTGTCTAAGTTCCTCATGCGCACTTTTCGACATTGGAATGTGCTTCAAGAATAGAATACAACGACATCACGTAACCTCCTCGTGTCATGTGAAGGATGTAGGGCTAATCCATGCAGATCGACTATTGCACCCGTCTAACGTAGTGCAATGAAGTCATCATAGATGTTCGTTCCGCTTCTTCTTCTACTCTTCCACACCCCACATTCCCACTACCGAAACATGTTACTTATTCCAATCATTACCGCATATTTATAAGCATTCGTTGAGATATGATTGGATATCAATGTGCTACAGATAAGTGAGTCTAGAAATCTCATCCTTGTGTTACGTGATTGACTGGTTAGCAACCTTGAAGTAAGCTCTATGGCTTAATAGGTAAGCACATTACGTCTCATGTAGCCGAACTGTTATTATATTTGCAAAGACGGGTTTGTTGTCTCAGGCTTCTGCTTCAGCCTTTAACTATATCTGTATGGAGTTCTACTTAGTCCTAGCATCACTCTCCCAAAGTTCTCCGCGGTTGGGATCGCTTTACTTGTCCTCTAACAACATGTATACGAAAACCGCCCAAATAAGACCATGACAGCAAACTGGGAGGTGAAATTGATCTAGCTTCCTGTAAAGCTTGCTGTAGAGCTTCCTGTAGAACTTCTCAGTCGGGTATGTCGCTTCCTTGGACGGACATCGAGTACCCCCAGGGACAGGAAGTATTCATATGATAACAAAGATTTCGTATCACTGCGGTCTATATGCAGACAAATCTGCCCCGGTCTAATCTGGATGCAAGTGTTTGATATGGTTTCCACGAAGTAGAGTTTGAGCTTACTCAATCCTTGCTCGAGCTATTTCGACACCTGTCTATTATCTTTGCCTCCCGCAAGCGACCAGTGACTATACACCTGTACTATTTCACAAAATCAAATATGGTGGACCATCACGAATAATTCATATACTGCGAGGACGAGCACAGCACTGTGAGATCGGATGATGCCGCACATATGATAGCTCAGTGTTCTTCTCATCACTAGACGCTGACTATTCGATCGGAATGACGGTTCTGTTATAGAAAATTCATCATCAGTGAATAGACTAGCATTTTGAAAGCATTGGAGTTGTCTGGTCTTCCCGATAGTGTAACATCCATCCATTTCTGAATGGAAGGCTCTCATAACGCGAGGCAGACGAGGTTTTAGGAGCCGCTATCAGAGTTCTAATATTACATCAGCAAAGCCGTCTTCATGAACCCGAAGTCTTGGGGCAAAGACTACGGAGAACCGTAAGACTGGAGCTCACGTCCAAAATATGAACCAGAAACATTCGGATCTATCGGAAGCTGTTATACCACTATCGATATCGAAATACATGGATGTAAACGCATACCTGAGCTTCAGATATGTCACAGCTGCGAAGATGTCCTCTCTAGGCATATTATGTCCCACCCATATAAACTTCTACAATCGCTGAAGCTTTTCGACCTGTATACAAGCGGGAACCCACTCTGGAGGTCTATCGACCACACAAAAAACATGGTAACTCCTTTGGAGAAATACGCCGAAATCTGACGAATGGATCACTGAAATCGACCTACCAGTCATTGGGAAGATTACCTGAAATCTGATATCTTGAAATCTCCCAAACTAACTCAAAAACATGGACTTTTGAAAAGACAGACTTCGTAGTACGTCGGACCACAATACTTTCAATTTCGTTGCTTTGGACTTACATGCCAGGTGTTAGGCAATATGACTGGGGTCAAAGTAGCGAGCGTCCTTGTTGCTAAGGAGGATTCTCTCCAGAGATATGCTAGAGAGCTGGAAAGACACCGGAACTCAAAGTAGAGACGACCTCAAAGGTATTCTCTGAACAGGTAGCCGTAAGATGCTCTGCGATAGCTGTGGTAACACCCTTCCTGATCGGCCCTTTGTAATTGGCAGGAGGGCTCTACAACGGCACCCGCATCGACAACCTTGTTGATGTCTTCGGCAGAACTAGCAAGAAGCCTGCTACCTTGGCGTCCATACTCTCATATGTTTCTGATGGTAAAAACTACATGGAAATGCACTTATATTGGTTACATTGGATATTGTTGGGTTGAACCGTTACTTCGTAATACATACATGGACAGGTCGTTGAGACCAGATCAGACTACCTCTACATGAATATCGTGCTCATGCTTTCGCCTCAACTCCTCTCGAATATATCCCCAGCAAGTACTAGCACCTCTCAAATACATCTCCTCTCCTTGAGCCAATCTGTGAAAGCTGTCTATTAGCCCTGAGTTTACACATTACTTGCTGATATCATCACCCCAGACCTGCTTAGCGATCTCGACACTCAGTCTAACCTTGGCCCACTGCTCTTCTTCTGTCAACTCGTTGCCCTCAGCCGTGGAGCTGAAACCACACTGGTGGCTCACACACAGCTGGTCCAGACCCTTTGGCGCAATCTTCGCCGCCTCATGTAGCCTCTGGATGATTTCATCCTTGTCATCCAGAGTATTCTTCTTACTACTCATAACACCGAGCACAACAACCTTATGTTCCGGCAGATGGCGCAATGGAGAGAAGTCGCCAGATCGCGCATCGTCGTACTCGAGGAAATACGCGTCGACGTTCAGTTCCTTGAAGAGAACCTCGGAGACGGGCTCGTAGCCACCGGAGGCAAACCACTTGGAGCGATAGTTGCCGCGGCAGAGATGGATGCCGATCTTCATGTCTGAAGGTCGCTTCTCGATGGCTTTGTTGATGAGCTCGGCGTATTTGCGGGGCAGGGTGCTGAGGTCTTCATTGCGTTCTTGCTCGGCGGCTTTGCGCATGTCGGGGTCGCAGAGATAGGCGAGGTTCGTGTCGTCGAGTTGGACGAAGCGGCAGCCAGCCTTGTACAAGCTGTCTAGCTCTTCTTGGTATACGCGCGCGAGGTCTTCGAAGAAGACGTCTAGGTCGGGGTATGCGGAGATGTCGATTGAAGCGCGACCGCCGCGGAAGTGCACCATGGTTGGTGATGGTATGCACACTTTTGTGCTCGCGTTTCCGCCATTGTTCTTGATCGCTTGCTCGAGGAACTCGAAGTCCTTGACTTGAATCGCCTCGGGGTGACCCAGCTTTCCTTTGACCACCAGTGTTGGGGGCGAAAAGCCATCCTTGTGCCTGATGTTTCCTACCTGACCCTTCTCCTCGATGCCAGCGAGGTGCTTGAGGAAGTCGAGGTGGAAGTAGGCGCGACGGAACTCGCCGTCGGTTACAGATCGGAGTCCATTTTCTATCTGCTGCTTTGCGACGTTGTTGATATGTTCGTCTTCGACTTTGCGGAGTTCGTCCGCGGTAATCTCTCCGTTGGCAGCTTTTGTACGTGCTTCAAGGACGGCTTTGGGGCGGAGGAAGGAGCCAACGTGGTCGGCACGGTATACACCAGTGGGAAGAGGCATTGTGTATAGTTCTGTGCGATGGTCAGGGTATTGCAGCACTGTTGTTCCATCAACGCTTACATGGTATGCTATGTTATGGAAGTTGTTGTACAACGAATAGTTTGTCTGTCAGACACAAGAATATCGCAGTTTGACTAAAGGTTCAGCAGTAAGCAGAAAAGTTGAAATGCATCTGCCGAAAATTTGTACACGGCTTGTTCGCTCCATAATCGCATGATGTACTCATTCGCACCTAATCCTGAAGCTACCCCACAGCGGCAGTTGTTAAGTTTGTTTAGGGGCAAACTAAAACCCTGGATTCGTGGTGCCGAGGAAAACCCTGCACGGAGAACCCGCTCGCAATGGTAGCTGTACCGCGAATGAAGGCTTGTGAGACATGGGAATTGCAGGCCAAGACCTTGTGTATACGAGAAGTTCAGTATTGGTGACCTACCCAGTAGTACTTGAGTAGGGCCGGGTGCTGGAAGCTCCTGCAGCTTCTAGAGGGGTTGGGAATGACGTTTGGCGGGGTACTGTAGATCGCGCCACCCCGGCCTGAGACTGAAGACCGATCCGCCTCTTCGTGTTCACAGGCCCTTCACATGATTGAGCGTCAAGAGTATCTGAAACCGGGTATATTGAAACATGTTAAGGTGATATGAAGTAGAAAATGTGTGTGTGGTACTAGGCAGATGGTCAAACAAGCATCTTGTGATACCTGGTGTCGTCTTTTGTCTACGCAGCCTTCACAAGCTTCGCTTCTAGAAGCTCGCCGAATTGGCCTTCCCACAAGCCCTCTTCCTCTTCGTCTTCTTCCATCAAAAGCGCGTCGGCAGCGTTGTAGATGCGGTTACCTTTGCTATCGAACTTCTTCTCCCTTTTCGGGAGGTCGCGCAAAGCGATTTTTAGCTGTATCGTTCCAGCGCCAGGTCCCGAATCGCCTTCTTGCTCAACAATAGCTGTTTTGTAATCACTAATCTCTGGTGTGACGGTGACAGGATTGACGGTAAAGAATTTGCATGCGATAATGGCGCCGGCTTTCATGTCGGACGAGGTGAGATCTGGTAACGTGCTCATATCTTGAGGCAGCGGTGGTAGATCAGACTGCGCAGCCATCGCAAGATCTTGACGTAACTGGTCTTCCAGTGCTGCATGTATAGTCTCGGAGTCGGGGTTAGTTGCAGGCGCATCGTCATAGTCTAATATGATCTTTTCTTCCTCCTCTTCCTCTTCTTCAGGCGTTGCTTCCTGCAGCACGTAGTTTCGCCTCTTCTGCTTCTTCTTTGCAGCTTTGTCGCGCATAAGCTTGCTGGCTGGGTCCCAGTGCTGCTGGAATGGGAAGGGCGGAGCGCTCAGCTCAAAATCTTCCTCCCAACATTCGAATGCAGAGAGGTTGACCCGTGTCTTCCAAAAGTCGGGATCAGAGGCACCCTCGGGCTCCGAACGTTCTTCAGGTGCAGCCTTCGCCTTGGTCTTCCTGAGAGCAGGTGCAGCCTGCCGAGCAAGTATTCGACCAATGGCACGAGTATCTGGTCGCAACCTTCTTGAGAGAGCCTCTTTCTTTGCTGGCTGTGTCTCTTCGGCTAGAGCGGTAAGTGATGCTTCTGCCCCTTCTATAGCCGGAGTCGTTGACTGTATAGGCTCGTCTGCCGGTGTTGTCGCATCTGAACTTTGTCCAACCTTGGCCATCAGATCTTGTTTCCTTCGCTCAAGCTCTGTTGTATCGTCGGCAACCTCCTCTGTCGGCTCGTCTTCATCTAACCGTTTTCTCTTGCCTTGAGACTTGGCGAAGGGCCGTGTATGTTCCGCTTCTTCAGTTTGATCATATCTTCCTTGTTCATAGTCGGCCAGATCCGCGAGTGTTGCATTCTCAGGAAGCTTACCCGAGGCTTTGAGGCTACGCAGACGGTTAGCCTTTGTACGTCGCGCGTTCCTCAGCTTGGTAGCTTTTAGACCTTGTCCAGGGGGTACATGCTGTGTACCTGGACTGGTCTTGCGACCGTCTTTGGATGACAAGACATCGGGTGGGGAGCTTGCGTCGCTATCGTCGGAGTCGGAATCGCTGTCGCTCGAAGTATCTGAATCTGAATCTGAAGTGTCTGAACCGCTAGATGACCCATGCGACTTTGCGACTGCATCTACGTCTGATTCTGATTCCGAGTCGGAATCCGACGCATCAGAAGACGAAGTCTCGCCTTGTGCCTCGTCAGGAGCAAAGTCGTCATCGTCTTCCTCGCTGTCATCAAATGCTTCTATCTCTGGCTGCTTGAACTGCACTGATTTGGCTGCCCGTTGCGACGGCGATGTTTGGCTTCCCGGCCGCTGGTGGTTGTTGAGCATGGCAAGTTGTTCGCGCACTTGGGTTGTGTCTCCGTGTTCTGTGAGCAGGCCGACAGCCTGGGCATCGTCCTCAGCCTGAACGTCGTCCAGTCGGCGTCGTTTGCGCGGAGGTATGCGAACGGCGGGTCGATTAGGCTGTCGCAGGTAGGGCCGGCCAAAGGGAACGCCATCGACGAGGTGCTGGCCTCCATCTGAGATTTGGTCACGGCCGGTGAGGGTGCGCGCGCGTACTTCGGCAGTCATGAGCGGGCGGATGCTGGCAACGTGTTAGTATCGACCAAGATGCAGAATGAAGAAGCACATACGAGACATGGTCGTCTTCCTTGAGCGCGTGAGCGACAGGCATAAAGTGCAGACACTCGAAGCCGCCCACCTCGACGACATAGTGCTCCAGGCCCCAGTGCTCTGCCTCGAGCGGGATGATGAGGTTGACGTCTTCGAGCAGACGCGTGACGGTGTATGCCTGTGTGCTGTTGGTCTCGGGCACACTCCACACGACGTTGGCGGCAGGGAGGCCGTTTCTCTGCACCGTCAGTCGAAGCCTCATGTTGGCGTGTCGAGTCGCATTGGTTCGCGTGTACAATGCGATTGAGGCGTCGCGAACTTTTGGAAGGAGCCAGGCCATGACGATCCACTCGTGTATCCGACGCTAGTGCCCTCCCAGTCTAGCGTGTCCCATGCTTAGTGGATTCGACTTGTCACTGCCCAGGCAATGCAAACACCAAGTGTATTACCACCCGCGCATGACGCAATATCTAGCTCTAGACTCGCATATATAGCAGCAGCAGCAGCTGGAGACTGCATTCCTTTGTTCGCGAGCCACTACAATCCTAGTGCGAATATCACACCATCTGCCAACATGCCCGTGAGTATGCCCATCAGTACGCTCAAAGGCTCCTGGAAGCGCCTCCTCGACGACGAGCGACTACGCCGATCGTCGCAAGTCCTTTCCGTTATCGATCAGCATGTCTGCATCTTTGGTGGTGAGGTGAAACCAAGGGAGCCTATAGATGATAAAATCGATATCGTTTCGCTCAAGCCTGGTAGGCCTTCTTTTCGCTGCTAGTTGGCCATCAAGGTGCACCACTAACAACGCCACAGATGCAAAGAGCTTAGAAACTAAAGCCATATCCTCAGCACCCACTCCCCGCGTTGGAAGTGCGTCAGCCGTACTGAATGGCAACATGTATCTTTTCTCCGGTCGAGGTGGCATCGACATGGCCCCTATAGAAGAGCACGGTGCAGTGTGGTGCTTCGACCCAGCAAGCTCAGCATGGTCCAAGATCATGCCCGCTGATTCATCTGCCCCATATCCACCAGCTCGCAGCTATCACTGTTCTACTAGTGATGGAAAGGACACTTTGTTCCTCCACGCCGGATGTCCAGCGAGTGGCCGCCTCTCAGATCTGTGGATGTTCAGCGTCCATGATTGTACATGGTCACAAGCTCCTGATGCTCCAGCACCCCATAGAGGAGGAACTTCCATCGCTTACAGTAGGGGCAAACTTTACAGAATGAACGGATTTGATGGCACTACCGAGCAGGGTGGTAGTATCGATATATTTGATATAGCCAACAACACCTGGTCAACCGAGACGTTCAAGGCCGATGGGAATGATGGGCCTGAGGCTCGTAGTGTTTGCGTGCTTCTACCAGTTAAGCTCGCTAGAAAGGACAAGCTTCTCACTCTCTTTGGTGAACATGATCCTTCGTCGCTTGGTCACGCTGGCGCAGGCAAGATGTTGAAGGACGTCTGGGTATATGATATCGGCGAGAAATGGTGGACACAGCTACACCCTGAAGGCAGTGATGGTTTTCCTGACCCCCGCGGCTGGTTCGATGCTGATGTCGTCAAGGCTGAGACCGGCAACGACAGTGTCATCATTCATGGTGGCCTAGGCGAGAACAACGAGCGACTAACTGACCTTTGGCAACTTGTCTTCTAAATTCAAACCACCATAAAGTAACAAGCAACGTGCACTGCAAGACTTTCCATCGTACGCCGCGCGAGGTGCTGTATTACGAATCTACCTAGTATTGAGCTGCTGTTCTTCCTGATTGAAATAAACGGTTCTTCGGCAGTGGAGGACGTCTGCAATCTACTACAGGCTGTTCTAGAGTGGTTTGTAGTGACCGTTGAGTTTTTCTTCTCAGTGATAAATCAAAGAAGGGACCGAACTGTTCGGTCTCGTTTGACCCGAGTACCGCCGCGAAAGATCGTTTCTATGAAGTTTTGGCTGGCTTGTCAAAATCCCGTCGTCGGAATGTGGGGATGTGTGTAGTGTAAATAGTGTAATATTTTGTGTTTCTCGAGTACGACAGTCTTCATTTGTAAGTTGCGACCAGGAGGTAGCTGTAGGTCCACGTGGATACGCGATGCGAGAAGTCTGTCAGTGCAGTATTGTGTATTTTGGTGTTCCAGATTGTAAGACGACGCGTAGATCTTCGATGATCGAGATCCTACTCTACCTAATCGGCATCCTGTCCTTTCCCGTACTCTCAACTCGTGTAGAATCTATGAATGCATCTTCGGACGTGATTTTGTTATCCATCTGGTTGATTGGCAATCCGATTCACACGCGATGTACGATGGGTGTAAAGTGCGTGTTGCACCTCGGCTGTACGACCCCGACTTTCTGTACGATGATCCTACGCTCGCGGCATTGAGACTCGGTATGCATTCTTTCGACTACGAAACAAAGGAGATATTTGGAGAGGCATGAACACAAGGTTTGGGGGTTCGTACGAGGTGTTCGCACGAAACTAATTACCTACAATTCAATGCTAAGCTCCACTCCACATCCCGCACCCGCCTTCCGGCGCGTCATCGCTTCCCCGCACATCGAACTTTCATAAGGACTTAAACGTGTAGCAAATCGCACAAGATGCGTCGCGCCATTGCGAGGAAGACGTTATCGATAGTTTACTCTCGACATTGTTTTCTAGAATGCATCTCACGGTCCTTGCTTGGGCAGCTGCTGTAGCTCTTGTTGCGCGTATTCTCTTTCCGTTCTTGAGAGCCGTCTCCTCACCATTGCGAGATGTACCTGGCCCAGTTGTAGCGCGTTTCACGAACTTATGGTATCTTTGGCGAGTGAAAAGAGGTTCGTTTGAATACGATAACCTTGAGCTTCATAGGAAGCATGGTGAGCTTCACCCTTCCATTAGTACTTCTGCTCCTTAGATACTCATACTTATACTTCTACCATAGGCGAGATAGTTCGCTACGGTGCAAACCGCTACTCCTTCTCTTCGCCGAGCGCGCAAAAGATCATTTATGGCCATGGCGCCAAATTCCCCAAATCCTCGTGGTACGCGACGTGGCAGAACCCACATCCTGACCAATGGTCACTGTTTGCCGACCAATCTATATCACGACACAGCGAAAACCGGCGCCAATACCAGAGCGCTTATACAATGTCCTCGCTTGTCAGTTACGAATCGTACGTTGATGAATGTGCGGATTTGTTCAGTCAGCGCCTCCAGGAGGTAGCGAGTGCGGGCGCGTATGCCGATATGGGACATTGGCTTCAGTGTTATGCCTTCGATGTCATTGGCATGATAACGTTTTCGAAACGACTCGGGTTCTTGGACAAAGGCGAGGATATCCGTGGTATTCTCGTGGCACTCGAGGATCTCTTGTGGTATGCCACTCTTACAGGCATTTACTCCTGGCTACACAAATACCTAGCTCCTGTTAGGAACTTTCTTGCTGGGCCCAAAGGAACAGGAAGGGCGTATGTGATGAAATTCACACAAGAGTGTATTGCGGAGCATCAGCAGGAGCAGACCAAAGCCATACCCGTCGATGAACTCCGAGCTGAACAGGGTACGACGAGCATGGACTTCCTCACAAAATTCTTCAAAAAGAACGCAGATAACCCCAAGTCTTTCAGCATGTACCATCTTACCATGGGCTGTGTATCAAATATGACCGCCGGTTCAGACACTACCGCCATCAGCCTCTCTGCAATCCTCTACTACATGCTCAAGAATCCACAGACCTTCGAGGCCTTGCGCCAAGAGGTTGACGAGCGGCAACGCGAGGGCAGGATTGGCCATTATATTACCTTCAAGGAAAGTCAGGATATGCCCTACCTGCAAGCCGTCATGAAGGAAGCGCTGCGAATGCATCCCGCCACAGGCTTACCGCTCGAGCGCGTAGTACCCGCTGAAGGAGCGACAATATGTGATCGATTCTTTCCCGAGGGCGTAAGTTGCCGTGTATGTCAAATTCGCGTATGCCGTGCTAACAGCTTGGATAGACAATCGTCGGAATCAACTCCTGGGTCGCCCATCGCGACACGTCAGTTTTCGGCCCCGATGCCAACATGTTCAGGCCTGAGCGCTGGCTCGACGCAGACAAAGAGAAGCTGAGTCTCATGGAGCGAAGTTGGATGCCGGTATGTCACTTTGTTCGGCACATGCCGCCACTGCCTTGTCCTTCGTTTCCACACTCGTAACGCCACTCATCATCCATACCCTTTTTTCATTCTACTTCCCTTGGTGGACAGCAACTAACAGCCTGGCAATAGTTTGGTCTAGGCTCCCGAACCTGCATTGGACGACACATTTCGCAGCTGGAAATGTCCAAGCTGATACCCATGCTGGTGCGCGACTTTGATTTTTCTCTCGCCCCCCACCTGCAGGCTGCGGACTGGCAAACGACTAATTACTGGTTTGTAAAACCGAGGGACTTCCAGGTCAAGGTTATGATACGACAGCAGGACCGCTGATCTAATGTTGAGGAGCAAGTAGCAGCGACGGTCCGCCGGGTAGCTGAGTACCCGGTTCTGGGTGCGGCTGCAATTTGTATGTTGCTATACTTGGAGTGATTGATCGAATAGTTGAGCAATTGAGGTATCGATTCACACTGTAACGTGCAGTAGTGGGGTAGGCATACAGGGTACGATGGTAGGACCGATGCATGATAGCAGATAACAGCCCGATCGTACATAACATACCCTGTTGTTGCCGTACCGACGATACCTTAGCGACCATGATGATGCATAGACGGAATACATTGGAACAAGCCGTGGTGGCGTTCTCGAATTCAATCTACACATTCTGGAATCTCACAGCGCCCGGCTGTTGCTCCGCGAAATGTGCCGTCCCACGTTGTTTTTCAGTCCGCGTCGCTATGTATATATGCGTGCATGCATGTATGCAAGGCTATGGACCAGATGGGTTGCCACCGGTAAATCCCTCGTTTAGGTCATGAAGCCCGTATTTCTGCCGCGGTTCATGGGTGAGAAGAAAACCTGAAAGTAGGAAAACTTGTGCTGTAGTTGGGAATGTTAGACATTGCGGCACAGTAGTTGAGAGACGGTGTGCTGTCTAACTCCTGCCCCTCTTGCATCATCAATTCAGTGAACAGCGGTACCCTAACCCTGAGCCTATCTCCGTGTTTGTTTCAGACCCTCCAAAATGCCAACTTATTCAAGTGTGCCAGCTTGAACCAAGAAAAGTGGAAATGGGACGATGCCTGAGTGCGGCGCAGGTCGCGGTCTCCCGTAGCCAGATAAGCGGAAGCGTCTCCGGCATGTGCATGCCCCCCTGCAGCAGCAACTCGAACAAGCTCCGTCGCGCTCGTATCTACGCCTCGTGATTCGCTAGGGATAGCGTTTCAACTACCACATTCGGATTAGCGGATCGAGTCATGAGCTAGGCAGAAGAGGGATTAGTGCAGTGGCTCAACAGAAAGTTTATTAAGCTTTGGCATTGCTATCGAGCATGATTTTCTCAGGGGTGCAATGATGTGGGTACGTACGTGGGCGAGAATGGGCGGCGCTGGACAGCGTGGGTGCCTTGTTCGGCTGCTTGCTAGCTGGAGGGACCAGAGAGCAGGACGCGATATGCAAGTGATGGTCGCACGGCTGCCAGTTTGCCTCGCTACGAGGCTGAAGTGCACAGTGCGCAAGGCTGGTCAATCCCGGCTGCAAGCAAGCTGCAGTCAAGATACTGTGATGCTATGCAAATGATTCATGGAAAAAAAAAATCTATTAGATACTACACTATTGCAAGTCCTTATCTGTGAAATGTACGATGTAGACGTTAGATGCCCAGGGACGCCTCGGCGCCTCAACCATGCCAGTGAGGAAAAGAAATGAGAAAACGTTCATCTAATATGCCCTTGGTCCCCGAATCGGTTTGGAAAAGAAAAGGTAGGTCGTACACGTAGGAGTGGGTCCCCGGGAGTAAAAAAAGGAAAATGCACTCGGCAGTCAGACGTGGGTGAGTCTAGCACTTGCCGGCCTGCCACATCTTGACAGACTTGACTGTCATACCGCGCTCGTTACCCTCGCCCCAAGTTGGGAGCCAGTCATCCTTGGCTATTGCAAAAGTCAGCAGGAAGTCCATGAGCAAATTGTAGGCTGTGAATCAACGTACCATTCCAGAAATCACGCACGGCAAAGTCGCTGCCATCGACCCACGGCTTGTTACCCTCTCCATCGAAGAACCAACCATTTTGCGCACCAACGGCAACGTTGAGGATAAGGTAGAACTTCTCGTCAAATGGCGCGTTCTTGCCGCCCTGCTTCCATGGGTCTTCGAAAAGGGTACCGTTGCTGGTAGTCAGACCGTTGAAGCCACCCTTCTTCCATAGCTTGTTCTTCTCGTTAAACTTGAAGTACATGACTTGCTTGAGACGGCTGTCAAGGTAGAGGAACAGGTAGTTCTCAGTCCATTCAAGACCAAATGTGTGCCAGCTCGAGGCGAAGTCTGTGCGGCGGAAGAACGAGGTACCGTGCGTGTTGATGTAACCGTCGTGTTGGTAGTCGGGACCCCAGTGGAGCGTGGAAGAGACGAAGTCGCGACCTTCGGGGTACTTGTAACTGTTACTACGGAATTCGGCAATGTCGATTTCTCCACTACGAGGCCAGTCACCATATACGTTGTCTTCGGGCATCATCCAGATAGCGGGCCAGAGCCAGTCACCCTTGGCTGTCTTTGCAACAACTTCAACGCGGCCGTACTTGATCGACTTCTTGCCCTTGGTAGTCATGCGTGCTGAGCGAACAGGGGGAATGATGGTTCCGGTGGTCGAGTTGGATCGGACACCGCACGACTTGTAATCGGTGGATGTGCATGAGCCATCACCGTCTGCCTTGGTGATGTTTAGGGTGTAGCCGTTGAGGATCTGCTCGGCAGTGATGCTAGTGGATTCGGTGGTGAGAGTTGGCACGATGTGGAGACCCTCCGAATCGACGAAGCTGTTCTTTGGGTCGTCGGTGGTCCAGTCGAACTCTCCGTTTCCGTATCCGCCAGTCTGGATCTCGTAACCCCAGTTGGCGGGGTCAATCTTCTCGAAGTTGTCTTCCATGATAAGACATTGCTGTCAAGATGTTAGCCAATGCACAGACTGCTGCGGATTGATCGTACGTCAGGTATTTGCGCCTCCTGTACACCGGTGTACATGATGTATCCACTGACGGCGAAACCGATGAAGATGAACCCAAAGGTGATCCAGTTGCCGACCTTAGTCTTCTTCATCCTTGGATCGTCGACCCATGGTTGCTCGCGTCTAAATGTCTCATCAGCTCGATGCTATTGACGTGTGAAATGGACTGTACTTACTCTCCCCGTAGTCGATAGCTCTTAAAAGGTCGTGGTTGTTTGCGTATCTCAGAAGCGTTTCCGAACTGACTTCCGTAAACAGGACCTCCGAATGAAAGGTTGGAGGGATTCCTGGGCATGTAGGTTCCCTGTGATGAGGACTCGGGACGCATCCTTTGCGACATGCCGGTAGGAAGGTCTGGGACATCTTGGGAGTGAGCCTGAGGCTGTGTTTCCTCCTCAGGGCTCTCCTTCTTGTTACGCTTGAAGAAAGAAGGCATTGTGATAATCTGAGATAAGTGGAAGTATCAAATGCAGGATACAAAAATGGCAGAGTGTTCAGCGATGGGCAAGGTAGTTTATTGCCGTACGCGACCTCGTCTAAGGAGATTAGAAGAGTACACAAAAATGATGCAGGGGACGTTGTTGAGAGCTGAAGTATCGATACCACAAGCCAGGCGAACGCCGCGCTGACTTGTGCGGCACCGATAAATCGATAGTAGACTGAACCGTCGTCGGGAAGCGCGAGATTCTCGGATTCGACAGCCTAGATTTAGAACAATCAACAGGCTCTAGACGTATCTACCGTTCTCGACGCAATGGCTGCTGCAAGTGCAAGGGGCGGATAGTGCCCATGGCAGTTTCAAACCAGTCGCCAGCTACGTCTTGAAGATAGCGCACAGTAGTGTCGATGTTGCTAGCGTTCTTTTAGACGCAGGTACGTCAAAAGCCATGAGATAAGCGCAGAGCTAGTGTGACAGCCTTGCAGTCAAAGTGCCAGGGGGGGGGGGGGGCAGCGCCCCATGCCGGTAGAGAAACG